GTTGTTACAAAACATCATCCAATAATGATTGTAACTGAATATATGGAAAATGGTTCATTAGATACATATCTTCGAGTAAATTAAAATGAAAAATTTCATTTTACAAAATATTTATTTTGATTATTTTTTTTCCTTTGCTCATCTAGGCAAATGAAGGAAATAAATTACTTGATACATTACAATTAACACGTATGTTACGTGGTATAGCATCGGGCATGAGATATCTGTCAGATATGAAATATGTTCATCGAGTAAATAAACAAATTTCAAAAAGAAAATCATCTAATTATATTTTTTATAATTTTGTGTAGGATTTAGCAGCACGAAATATTCTTGTAAATAAAGATCTTATATGTAAAGTAGCTGATTTTGGTTTAAGTCGTGAAATTGATGAAGGTGATAGTTATACAACTAAAGGTGGCAAAATTCCAATACGTTGGACAGCTATTGAAGCAATTGATTATCGAAAATTTACATCAGCATCTGATGTATGGAGTTTTGGTGTATTGTGTTGGGAAGTTGTTTCATTTGGTGAAAGACCGTTTTGGAATTGGTCAAATCAAGATGTTATTAAATCAATAAAAAATTCTTATCGTCTTCCACCTCCAATGGTTTGTTTACAACAAGAAAAGAATATTCTCAAATCATAAAAATAATATTTTCTTTTTTGTTTTAGGGTTGTTCAGATGTATTATATAAGTTAATGATTGCCTGTTGGAATGAAGAATATTTAGAGAGACCAAAATTTGTAGAAATTGTTCAACAATTAGCACAATTTATTCAAGTACCTAGTCGACTCATTCCATTAGCAAAACAAAGGTAGAAAAATTACTCAATAAAGTTTTGAATCTATTGTTTTTTATTTATTTAAATAGATTTGTTTTTGTTAATCATCCTGATCAACCAAATTTTGCTCAAGTTACATCAATTATTGAATGGCTACATAGTCTACAATTAGATCGTTTAATAAGAATATTTCTTAATACTGGTTATACAAATTTGTCTCAGATATGTCATTTTAATCAATCAGATTTTAATGATATTCTTGGAAATAATATAACACTAGATGAACAAACTCGTTTATTAGATGGGTTAAAACGTATACGATCTCAACTTGTATTGATATCATCAAAATCATTGTTGCCTGGTGAAGGTTATCTTGTATAAAAAAAGAAGAAAGCAAGAGAAATATAGTATCTCTTTAAAAATCGACAACAGTGATCTCTAGTCCGTCGACAGAAATGAAAATGTTAATCTTAACATGGTTACATTTTTTTGTTTTCTGGTGATCTTCAATTGTATATAAAAATTCTATAAATCTTTATGTTTGTGTTCATCTCTATGTAATTTTTCTTGTTGATTCTTTTCTTCTGTTTTAGAAAAAAAAATTTGTTTTCTTTTCTTTTGAATATCTTCTTGTATGTGTCAATGTTTTCTTTTTGTACGTTAATGAGAAGATTAATTATTAAATGAGAGATATGAGTAATGGTAAAATTTTCATTTTTAAACTATAGATTACATTTATTCAATGAGAAATATACAAGAAGAATATATATTAGTCATTTCTATTTAGATACATAAATAGATGACAATCTTGACGCCATATATATTTAAAGGATCAGACGATAAGTACAGTTAAAAGCAGGATTATATTGGATGATGATCATTTTAATCTTCATTTGTATGCGTCTAGAATTTATAACTGACATTGTTTTGTAATAATCATGTCTAATATGCTTTTTTCCTCAACTAAATATTAAAATGTTCGTTCTTAAAAAGCTTTTAAAATTAAGATTAAAACCTAAATAGAATGGAAAAATGTCAACAATGTTAATGAAGAATTGTCACGTATTATCCTATAGTATATGTAAATATGTACTTTTTTAGTTAATATCAGCTAGTGACACTTTATAAATAAATCTCTCACTCAATAAGAATTTATAAATGACACGGGCGCAAAATATCATATTATTATTTAAAAAAAAGAAAAATTAACTTTAACTTTAATAATTCATTTACTGTCGACGTTTCGACTATTATATAGCCATTTTCAAGAATAAAATTTTGTAAAAATTGAACATGAACACAAAATACATTTAAGTTTTCATTAGATAAAATAAAATATAACTAAATTAAGTATGATTACAATTAGAATATTATTTGAGGGTGTGGTTGCGAGAGAAGAGGGGCTCCTCACAGCTACACCCGTACTCTAGTAAATATCTGATATCTGTTTTTTGATGATACTGATGAATTGTATATCAACATAAAAGTCTGTTTCCTTTTTAACAATCATATATCAGTGATCAGACATTTATTGAAAATTGGTATTAACTGGAGATTTGTCATGACCTCCTTCATATGTTGATTTTAGCATAATTATCACAAGTTGACTTACTTCCTCAAAAGAATAGTATTTAAAAGAGATGAATAATGATTTTTAAGCCGAATATTTACATATTTATTCTTTTCTTTTCTTTTCTCTCTCATATTCCACTATTACATAATAGTATTTCTCCCTCGCACCACGTGTATATATAAACAAGCAACCTTCGGCTGTGTACTTTAGTATAAATTATTTTAATTCAAATTCAACAAAATGGATACACAGGTTTTAGACACACTTTTGAATTTAAATTCGAGTAAACTTACGGAAAAAGGTGATTGTTTAGTTGTATTTGTCTATTGCTTCATGCGAGCACATCACTGCGATCTAATAGAGAATGATGTAAGCATATACAGTATTTTTTGTTTTTAATAAATTCTATTCATCTTTCAAACGATGATTACTGAATTAGATCTTGAAAAACGTGAGGTGGATGGTAGTTTCAAAATGAATTTTTCATTCAATAAAACAGAAATACAGGTTAAAATTTTAAGAAGCGATATCCACGCCTTCATTTATTTTAAGGTGAGTGTCTTACTAAAAGTATTACATACATTTTAGTATGAATATATTTATTGTTCTTTTAGCCTCATGATAGAGAAGAAATAGATCTCAAATTAAAAATAGATGCACATATCAAAGATGGGCAATACGAGGAGCATGTAATATAAATTTTCTCTCGAATGACTAGGAATTATTTTCTTTATTTCCCAGGACAATAATTCTAGAAGCAGTGTTCCGTGAATTTTCGGCTGACACCCACACGAAACATACTGTTTCTGGCCGTAACTGGATAAATCAGCGGCCGGATCCGTTCACTGGAGTAGTGCTTCCATAACATCTCCAGTACTGTCGGGAACCAACCGTTTTCGAGCTGGATTGTTCGACCTGGCCTAGTCTAGTTTAAATAATGGTTTTCATCTGTTCTTTTTTTTTTTTTTTTTTTGATTATGCGGTATTTATTTCGTTCCGTCCAAG